ATCTTTTGCCGCGTCTAATCTAATTACTTGCATGTAGTTTACGAGAAGTTGAGATAGCTGTATAGCTTAAATAAAAATGTTTCCTTTTGAAATTTTGCATTTATTGAACTGAGCTCAAAATAGTTTTGAAATAATATTCGCTACTGAAATCACTCAAGCATGTTTTTGCTCTTTTGTTTCTTGTGCCAATCTCATTAGAATATTAGCAAACTCATTAGCATTTAAAAAGTGGGTTATGCGAATACGTTCTATTACTTCTGATTGAAAACATTGGAGCATGCAAAAAACAAAATTCAAATTCGCTCAAGTTCAATTTAAATTTTTTCCTCGGATATCATGGTATTACAAACTAATAGGTCATGTAATTAACACCATTGATAATTCAACGACGTGTTTTGTACATGGACCAACTTACTTTGAAGAATCTCCAAAAAAATATTTTTAGGCGAATGTTTTACATGTAACTAAATGTCGCTAAGTGACATCATGATATCTGATACGTTTTAATTCAAATTGACCTCTCAGGCCAAGAAAATAAATACTTTACAAATAGTCAAAGTCTAGTCAAAGTCAAAGTCAAAAATCATAATCAAAGTCGCCTTTTTGTTATTGATAAACAAAGTTTCTTCTTGTTCTAATTTGAAGTCTTCAGTCCCACACAAGACCGTCTACAGCTAGAAAGGTCATTGATTCAGTTTCGTAAGTATACAACTCGAAGCTCCATGCGATCCGCACATGCGCGTACTTCTGATGCCTAGACTGATGTGTTCCGATGAGATCACAGATACCACATTTTTAAACGAATGGTTATTAGTCGGACTAGCCGAAGGCGAGGTCCGACTTTAAAATTACCTTTTAGCCAATCTATCTATGTATTATGTCGCGTTTGGACCACCGGAAGTTAAGAATTTAATAATTAACTATTGAGTTGGCTGTGTTATTACATGACCGGAAGCTCAAGCGTATTGATGTACGAATATCGTTAGTAAATGTTATATGCTACTTGGCTTTTATATGAGAAAAAAACTATTCGTTTACAAATGTGGTATCTGTGATCTCACCGGAATGCGTCTGTCTAGGCATTAGAAGTACGCGCATGTGCAGATCGCATAGAGTTTCGAGTTGTATGCTTACAAAACTGAATCAATATCCTTTCTAGTGTCAGACAGTCTTGTGGGGGCAAAGATTTCAAATTAGAACAAGAAGAAACTTTGTTTATCAATAACAGAAAGGCGAATTTAATGATTTTATAGGCATCTTTTTCCTTGTAAAGTTTTTATTTTCTTTGCCTGAGAGGTCAAGGTTTTAGTTATC